TTCGGCCGGGGCCGAGGCGAATAACTTATGAACTACGGCAGCTATGAAGTAGTAAACCATTAAATCAGTACTCTTGTCATGGCCAATGACCGTAATCCTGTTGCTAACATCACTTGTTGACCACTCTTAGTCTTTTTGTTGCTGTTTTTGAGGGTATGGTGATGCGTGTGGTTTTCTTCTTATGAACTCTCATTCGGACTGTGACTGTTGTTGTGTTCCAGTTGGTGCTGCTAAAGCAAACATGTCTCACACTGCTCTTTGTAGCACCTGCGCACGACGACAACAAAAAAAGATGACGTCGACAATGACGACGACAACGGCGACTACGACTACGACTGACTACGACGACGACTACTACTACTACTACGACGACGACGACTACTACTACTGCGACAACGATCAACAAGACATTACAATTACCAGTACTAGTACTAGGTTTCGTCCTGTTTCGGTTATGTCAGATTGTGCCAGTCGAAGTGGTCAGAGGTTTCGCCTTCCAGCAACCTCCGCTGCCCTCCCACCCCTGAATGGCCGCAACCATTCATTGTCTTGTGATGTGGAGACTACTCTTCACCTGCGAGCGGACGACGCGAAGCGTTTACACTTTTTACTACAGTACTCGTACTAGTGCTGGTTCTATCACCACTATTGCTGTCATTGCTATGACTTCTGTCATTCCTCCATCTTTGCGATTGAATTCTCATCATTGTCACTGTTGATGGTGGGGCTAGCGGCTGGCGGCTAGCTTGCTTGCATAAGTCGGCGATGGCCTGCCCAGGATGCTGGAGACTCCGGGGACTCCGGATTCAAGCTGCTCTGCGAGAGCCTAGATTCAATTTGGACGTGGAGCTCCACAGCTCGGCGCCATCAGAGCAAATCCTGAAAGACTTCTGCACCGAAGCTGTGCGCCTCTTGGAGCTCCTTCAGTGCCAAACGGACCTGGAAAGTCGAAAGTCGGAGAAACCGCAGGGACCTCCTTGCATGGCCCTCCCTTCTTGACCTCCTTCAAGGGCCCCCCCCCTCCTGGCCTGACGGTTCTGCGGCTCCAGCTTCGCAGCTTGCAAGAGATCCTTCCTGGCGCACTGGAAGCCCCAGAGACTCACTCGTGAAGTCTGGCGCCGGGCTTGGCAGCTTGCAGCATCGGACGCCCGTCACCCCTGCGACCATAAGACTCTGCCGAGAATTCCCGAGGACCACCGGTCCAAACCGCGCTTGATAAACATCTGAGGCATGAAGCTCGCGCTTGGCAAGGATCTGCCGCGCGCAGCCCCGCCGGAAGAGCGCCTCTTCGTTCAATAGATAATGAGTTTCACATGCGTGATCGGAAAACGACGCGCCGGACATGTCCTTAGCATTGGATGGCTGCAGCGCCAACACTTCGCTGCAAAGATCTTCGACCTCCAAGGACGAGCTTCCGATTCTCTCAATGCTGAAGACGCATCGTGTGACCCACTGACCTCCTCAATGCGAGCTCCTGTGCGCAGCAAGCTTGCGGCCAAGTTTAGCCGAACCTGAGGAAGAGCATGAAAAGCAGCCGTGTTGAAGTGCACAAACCCTGTTTGGTGGGGCCCAAGCAGGTATCTGCAGATCCTGGCACGTTGATGTGGCTGAAGTGCAGAGCATCGGCTACTAGATTCGCACCTCAGAGCTGTCCAAATCTGCCTTGATTTTGTCCAACGCCTCATCGGCACGAACGAGTTCGAATTCTACTTGCGGTCAACCGAGCGCGACTCTGGATAGATCGACCTCTGCATAGCATTCAGCTGCAGCAGCAAACTGCTGCGCCTGAGCAGAAGCGGCCAAAGGCACTATGCCTAGCCCTGGAACCCTCTGAAGTGTCCTGGCAGCCTCAAAAAACTTGTTGCCCTTTTCCCGCAGACTGCAGGGCGATGTCTCCTTGCTGGGTGTAGTCCGGGAATTCTGCTACCCAGCCTAGCAGGTACCGAAAATACCATGACATGGCCTGCATGAGCTGGAGATGTTGCTCATGGCAGGCGTAACACCATGTACTTTGGCCCCAAAACGGGTTCTAATTCTTTGAGGTCAAGCTGGGTATGGCGGAAGTTTACATAATCGTATCTGTTCAGAAGGTTTCTGAGCGAGAGAGAGAGAGAGAGAGAGAGAGAGAAGAAAAAAAACAGGGAGTGTGTGTGTGTGTGTGCGCGTGTGTGCGTGTTCCGACGACCTGTGAGAGGTATCAATCCTACTTGCTGTTGGGGGATAAGGACTGCGCTGAGGGCCCACCGCGGGTTTATCATGCAAGCTGCATGGGACACCATTCTATCACTCTCGCTTTCGAGCGCGACTGCGCTGGACGAGTGGGTGTAGAGCCCCACGGATTGAAGAGTGCATGCTGCAAACAGAACGGAACTTGCCTTTTTGGTCCCCGCGCCAGCACATCATCCCGTGGCTACTCGGCTACTCCTTCCCTCCGGAACGAACGAAGAGCCTGCAGAGCGAAGGAAAGGGCATATGTGGGTGTCTTGGGATTAGGGCAGCAAGGTCCACAATCTGCGGAACCTTCAAAATCGGATTGATGGACTCGAATTCAGTTGCAGCTGAGCGACAGTCGTAGTAGCCGACCACTGGCCAAAACCTCCCGCAGTGCCTCGCAGTCTTCTGTCAGCTCCTTCCGCAGCCAGACATGCAAGTTGATCAGAGAAACCGTTGAAGGCAGCACTACGACTGTTTCTCGTTGCGGAGTCGGGAAAGTCCTTGATGTCATCATCTACGAAGAGCCCCGTGGCCTTCAAAGCTACAACTCAACAAGATCGGGAGCTCCGTGAAAGCAGCCGGGGCCTCGCTGCCGCCCATGGAGTCAGCCAGCAGCTGCAAGACAAAATTCACCTGTCCGGGCTCTAAGAGACTCTCCAGATCATGCAGCGAGCGAAGAAAAGTGCAGAGCTGGAAAGCACATCGACTTTCGACTTGGACCCTGCCTTGGACCGGAAGCCTTCGCGCTTGATGCTCCGAACCTCCACGTTTCCACGAAGACCTGGCAAGTCTGATGGGTCGAATCCCAGATTCGAAAGCACAGGCTGAGCATAGCAGAGGCGTAGACGTGGAATTCACTTTTCTTGCGCATCCGAAAGCAAGCCGACAGTTCGACATAAGGAAGGCGCGAACGTGGCACCATGCAAGGCATGCAATGTGAGGCTTCTGCTGGATGCTCAGCTGTCTGCAGCTCTTGGATTGGGTCCGCCGGGCAGCCGTCATTTGCATTCTCAAGTATTTTTCAGAAGATCCTCAGGTAGCACCATGGAGGTTGGAACTTAGTGGATCAACTAACAAGCAGCTGCCGCCCTCTCGATTGAAGCCAGCTGCCAGAATCTCCTGTGCCCTGCACTGGTTGTTGCACTGGAGTGCCTTGGAATGTTGTGGTTGTGCAAGGGAAGAGCTCTTTCCAGCTGAGAAGTCGGCTTCCAGTAGCTGCTCCTCCAGTTCAATTGTTCGAGGGCTGGCTTTGTGTTCACTGCCTGACAAGGAGCATCTATGCGCAATCACAAGTGCTTGTGCTCGGCACCTTCCAGTGTCTCACACACCGATGATGATATCGACAGCTTCCTGGATGGATCCGGCGCGTCCTCCATCCTGCGCCATGAATCCGAACCGAGATCGCAAACAGAAATTTCTCGGGAATGTCCTGGGGAACTTATAGTCCAGCGATGCACTCAAGGCTCCACCAACCTCCCGGAGAATGGCATGTGGCAAAGCCTGGCAATCTCCATTTGCAAGGACTTGCCAAAAGACCAAAGGTCTCGAAGCTCCAGGCAGTTGCAAGCCTCGAAGGGCTGCCCTCCTGCCGGCAAGCCGCGCAGGTCGCACCTTACAGGAGAAGGCAGACAGGGAGGAAAGAGTCAACATCAACAAAGGTTTCGAGGGCCGCACAAGCATAGCCCTGAGCATGGGTCGGTCACGAAGAGAGCCGCTTCCACGTCGGGCAACACGAACCTGCAGGCGCGTCTGCATGCGCGCTGCACGTGCTTGCTGAGTGCTCTTGGAGCTGAGGACATGCGATTCTGAGCAAGAGCTGTGGCGACCTCGCCAGATGCCCCGGCTGGAGGAAGTGCTTTCCGTCGCCTGCTGCAGATATCAGAGGCTCGCTTACCAGGTGCAGAGACCGACCTAGGGAGACGTTCACAGGTCGAGGGCTTCGGTTGAAGACCTTGCAAGAAGAAGACCAACACACAAAGCTGCTGGCATCTGCTGGCTGCAAGTGCATGAGCTACAGTTCCAGGCCATGGGCCGTCAGGTTCGGCGCCTCTTCCCGGGTGTTTCTCGGGCGTAGCCTCAAGGAATCACCACAGCATCCAAGGCGCCTGCTGAAATCAAACCTCGAGGATGCCACAATCTGCTCTGAGCGTGAGGAGTGCAGTAGACCTGCAAACTGCAACGAAGCTTGCGTCCATCAGCTCGCCAACTGCAATGGCAGGCCAAGCCTTGGGGTTGATCTGTGGCCCCGGGCCGACGAAGCCCAAACTCGCAGCAGTAAGGAATCCGCTTCATTTCAGCTCTGCTCTCGCAGCATCCGACCTTTGTGGGCCCATTCCGAACCATTCCGGGGCAGCCTCCTCTCCGCCGCTGCTGCCAATCGTGCTGCCAATCACAGTGATGCCATCCTGTCAAAGGCCCCCCACCCGACTTACAGGTTGCTGGTGCTTGCATGCCTCCGCATAGAGCAACTCTCTCTTTGGCTCACCAGACGAAGATTGGCCCATGGCTTCCGGATTGCATGAAACTGCTGCGTGTCAGCGGATCTTTCTACCTACATCTAGGCTGCTGTACCATTCATGGCTGCCGCTAGTAGCAACTACAACACTGCACCACCCAGCCGACGGAGCCCAAGCAGCTCTGGCAATGCAACGCAGGTCTCTCACAAGCAGATAACAGGCAGCGCTGCAGTCACAACGAAGGCATGGACCGCTCATGAAGGCCGTTGCACTCAACAAGGCACAACTCGGCCGGGACAACCTGACGCTTCTGAAGCGTGCGCCTGCTCCTCAGTCCGCAGTGATGATCGCACATCACACTCGTGTGAGTAGACTCAAGCAGCGTGACCTCCTTCAGACGTGCGCTGATTCCATGTTGCCGAAGGAAGAAGGCGATATCCTTTCAGGGGAAGCACATGGACAGATGAAGAGATCGACCAAACGCTTCCAATTGCAACCGATGGCCCCGGCGGGTCCTCGCTCCGCGAATTCCGGGTCACAATGTACACGCGCTGGTGCATGCCACACAGCGCGACCTGATTTCAGAAGCTGCAGCACGCCGGTGAACTGCAGCAGAGAGCCCTTCGAGGCGAATGCCAAATCGGAGTCCAGCGAGTGGTTTCCGGAAAGTGGAGAAGCTCCAGCCTGCGCATCTAAGTCATGGCACTTCCGAAAATCGGACCTGCGGTTCCAAACCTTGGTCGTGCATAGTGTGCGGTCAAAGTCGAGAAAGATCACGTCCGGCTGATGCTGCGCTGCTATCTGCCACACCTGGGCCGTGACCACATCGCATTGGCTGAACTCTGTCTGGGACGGCGGTCCACATCTTCGCCATCCCCGCGAAGTAGGCGGCATCGTTCGCAAGACCACTGCTCGCAAACAATACCTTTCGGAGTGTGCGCGTTGAATGCGTTGATGGAAAAGACGAAACAGCGTCCGCAGTCCGGCCAAGCCACAGCGCGAGTCATGAGGGCAGAAGCTTCTGCTGCACCGTGCACCCCCGTAAGGACATCGCCTGCAGTCGGCGCAGACTCACGAGGCCGACATATTTCCCGAATCTTTCCCGAGGAGGATGCCCTCGAGATCGCAGCTTCGTCTCGCACAGAAGGCATTGACCCCGGTGAAGCCAAAGCTTCGACAGTCGCACCTTTGCTAGAACGGTGCTTTTGTCGAGGATGTCGTGGGAAGTGCTGAGAGACTGAGACAGCGACTGAGCAGGTTTGACAGGCATCGAGCCGCTTTTCCTCTCAGCCAAATTCATGGATTTGTTGTCGCCTTCGATTCCTCAGGGCCTCCTCACCCAGACAAGCTGACTTTGGCCAGCCCGCAGTGCTCAATTCAGACAGCATGGCCTGGACTGGCTAGACCCAAAGAGCTCCCTTCCGGCGACGGGCTTTGGGCAACCCATGAGCCTCTCGATGTCCTCCCCGGGCTGCGCGATGCCTCCGAGTAGCGCCGGCTGTCGTTGGGGCAACGGGCACCAACCTGGCCTCGCCAACACGTCCGGGAAACCTCCAACAGAACAGAGATGCTGACCCTGAGCTCTAAAGTGGCGGCAGCACCCTCTCGCCTCGAGGCACGAAGGCGGCGGCACCACGAGCTCCCGAGACCTGAAAGGTCGCAGAGGTAGGAGCTTGGGCCGTTTCGCGTTCTGAGCGCCTGACGAAGAGCCTCGAGGCATCACTTCCTCGGCGACAGGTTCCGGGAGGGCAGAGCGTTCTCCTTGCCTCTCTCCAAAGGGCCAAGGCTCTGATATCTGCTATGGGATCAAGCCAGCGAAGGAGTTCGGACATGACCTGGACTTCACTTTGGAGCTATTGGTCTGGGGGTTCCGGCTGACAAAGGCGCTGGCAGACAGCATGCCCTGCAGCACAAGCAAGTGGCCTGATGATGAGCTCCAGAGAGATCAGAAGACCCTTCTTCGACTCCTGTCTAGCTAGAGGCTAGAGATCGAATGGCCTAATTACAGCACGTGCCCGTACGCCGGCCAACCACGCCACTCGCCAGCCTCACCGCGCCCGTCCCTGAACCCCCACCACCCTCACCAAGTTTTAATTATGTAGACTTGGCAAAGGAAGGCTCTACAAGCTCAAGAGACCCAGGGCGTGCCCGAACCACCGTCACCAACAAACGCGCAAGCCGTGCCACCTCCATCGCCCGCACCGAGCCCCCCCCCCCCCCACCCAGTACCCAATGCGCGTTAATTCCCCACCACGCTCACGTCGTCAGATTTGGACGGTTTCAGTCTGTGGAGAAAAATGCCCACACCCGTCATGAACACCGCCCTCACAACCCTCATCACCCCCATGCCCGACCCCTTCACTGGCACCGTGGGTCCATTGTACCTTAAGCCCTCACCACTCTCAAGCTGCGTGAACTGTTATGAAGTCCTCCCTGCGAATGCCGGACCCCCAAATTTTAAATCCCCACCCTGCTGTACCCGAAACCATTACCACGCTCACCCATCAGGGCATAATCTGTGCATGACAGGGACTGAAAGATTTTTTTAATCTTGGGGGGGGGCATGGGCGACATAGTCTAAATTGGTCATGCTAATGCCACAGGCTGCGTTGTTTGGCGGCCCTGTCCCGCAAGCTCGGAACCGTCCCCTCCCTGGGAAATGCCTTTTTAGACCTTCCCCGGCGAAGTTCTTATTTTTCGGCTGTTGCCGAGCAACTTCAACCAGCAGAATAAGCCATAACAAGCATCAGCGCATTTTTCATGCATCAATAAGCTGTTGGTCAAGGTCGCGTGCCGGGGCCTGCCCGTGACCCGCAGAAAAAAAAAAAAAAACATCGAATCAGGCGAGTCGCGAGCCGCGTGCAGATGTAGCCCTGCAGACAAAGCTGTGTCACTCAAGTACTCCGAGTCCTGGGCTCAGGCCATGACATCAAGTTCAGTCCAAGAACGATTGAGGCTGTCGCATAGCCGTCTCCCTTAAGCAGTGCCTCAGATCGGGGATGTGAATGAAGACGAGACAGAAACATAAACTCTGCAACATGCGAAAGAAACAGTACGCATGTATCCGGGAGTCATGCACTCAACCGACGCTCAAGGCGCAATGCCTCCTCCTCGACCTTCCAAAGAGCACGGAGCGTGGAAGCGACCCAGCGCAGGAAGCGATGCCTTCCCTTAAAAGCAGGCTCTGCGCACCTCACGAAGTGCATTAATGTAACGATGGAGCGCACCCTTGAGCGCAGTGGCCTCCGGCATGAACAAGGGGCTAATCAAAAGCAACCATTTTCACACCTCGGGTACTTTACAGCTCCCCGAAAAGGTGTAAGATGACGTAAGCTATGTCCAGAAAGGCAATTGCATCGGAAAAACACTGCGCTACCTACAAGCTACCTACAAGTTTTCAAGCTTTTTGAATGCCTCAGCTCTTAGGACTGCAGGAGCGTCGGATCTGTTCTTTTGTCCGAGTCGTGTGAGCTCACCACATTCATAGGCCGAACCCCTTACTACTGCGATGTGCGATCTCACAACATGCGCTCGCCGATGTCGATCTCAGCAATAATCGTTGCGATGCGTGATCTCACGACATTCAGTCGCCGATTCCAGGAACAAGTTGTACTCCTGTGATGTAAGCTCAAAAACATGCAAAAACCTCATGGTGGGATTATTGCGCCTTTGGAAAGGCACATTAACTTCGAATCTACCGCGCCTGCCACATGAAACAAGCTTCTTTTTGTAAAAGTTGAGGCTATGCTTTTTTCGAAGTACAGTTGGGAAGTGCTTAAAATTAGGGTTTCGGCAACGCTCGCCGGTGTTTTGGCCTGTTGAGGATCCGATGCGGGAAGTAGTAGAGTGAAAGTATTACTACGAAACATACCCAAAGTACCACGCCTGTCACACGAAACAGGGTTTACCATGGGACTGAGGATGTACCGAAACAACTCGTCGTGCGAGATGATCATAGGATATGAAATGGTAGAACATGACATGATACATGATGTGTGATATGTCCTGAGATGATATGGTCTAAGTTTGCACTTTCGGCAGGGTTATGGGCAAGGAGGTTTCCCTCCTTGCCCGCGCGCCGCTCTCTCTCTCTCTCTCTCTCTCTCTCTATATATATATATACATATATATATAATATAACATATACGTACACTTTGCATAAAAGCAAGATGAGTATTTATTATCCGAGCAAGTTCATCCGATGCGGTTAAC